GGCTGCGATAAATAGATGTGAACTCCGTGAATTAAGACTGCAAAATAGACGATTCACTTGGAGTAACGAGAGAGATGCCCCAACCCTCGAGAAGTTGGATCGGATTTTTTGTAACCCAGATGGCGATATGCTCTTCTCTAACCACAACCTACAAGCTCTCTCTTCCTCCAACTCTGACCACTGCCCCCTGTTGCTCTCACCAACACACCAGCTGCTGCGAAAACCAACTTTCAGATTTGAAAACTTTTGGCCAAGACCGCCGGGCTTCCTTGACACCGTCCAGACGGCTTGGTCCCAGCCAGTTAGCGCTTCTCACCCTGTCAAGCGCTTGAGTTCCAAGCTGAAAGCTACAGCCAAGGCTCTACGGTCCTGGAGCAATCGCATCCTAAGTGACAGTCGCATCCAATTCCATCTCGTAAATGAGCTAATCCTCCGTTTGGACATTGCACAAGAAAACAGAGCATTGTCGCCCTTGGAGATCTCCCTCAGAAAAGATCTAAAGCTACAGATTCTTGGTCTTGCTGCTGTAGAGAAGGCAAGGAGAAGACAGCGATCCACACTAACATGGCTGAAAGAGGGTGATGCAAACACTAAGTTTTTCCACTTGAAAGTCAATGCGTGCCATCGGAAGAACTTCATTCACAAACTCCACCGTGGCAACGTCATCCCAGAAACTCATGAAGCCAAAGAGCGTGCCCTACACGAACACTTCTCCTCTCTGATGGGCCAGCGACTCCCTCGCTCTTGCACCCTAAACTGGGAGGAGCTTCACCTACCCCAGGTGACGCCAGAAGATCTTGACTCCCCCTTCACCGAGGAGGATGTTTGGGAAGCTATCAAACGGATGCTTGCTGAGAAGGCACCTGGGCCAGACGGCTTCACAGGCACCTTCTTCAGATGTTGCTGGGAGGTTATCAAGTCAGACATCATGGAATTGCTTGACAAATTCCACTCCTTATCGGGAGGAAATTTCGGGAGTATAAACAGAGCGACACTCATCCTCATCCCCAAAAAGAATGATGCTTGCACTATGGGCGACTATAGACCAATCAGCTTAATTCACTCCTTAGCGAAGCTCCTTGCAAAGATTTTGGCAATCCGCCTATCCAGACAAATTAACAAAGTGATATCACAAGCTCAGAGTGCGTTCATCATAACAAGGTGCATCCAGGACAATTTCCTCTATGTCTCCAACCTGGCTAAGAAGATGCACAGGTCCAAGCAGCCCACCCTATTCTTCAAGCTCGATATTGCCAAGGCCTTCGACTCGGTCTCATGGGAGTACCTCCTAACGCTGCTTGAAAAAATGGGGTTCAGTACTAGATGGCGAGACTGGGTGGCTTTAATCCTCTCAACCTCCTCTTCCAGGGTTGCACTAAATGGGATTGAGGGAGAAAGAATTGATCACCATAGAGGGCTAAGGCAAGGGGATCCCCTATCCCCATACCTTTTTATTCTTGCGATGGACCCCCTACATAGACTACTCAAGATTGCAACTGATGAGGGCCTCCTCAGTGACCTAGCGGACCGCAGTGCACGCTTCAGATGCTCCCTATATGCTGATGACACGGCAATCTTCATCAAACCATCACGACAAGATGTGGACAGCCTGATTTCGATCTTGAATAACTTCGGGAGTGCTACTGGACTTCTGGTTAACCTTCACAAAAGCTCAGTGATCCCAATCAGCTGTGGTGAAATTGACCTTGATGAAATGCTACACAACTTTACTGGCCCCCGCGGGACATTCCCAATGCGATACCTAGGGATGCCACTCATGATAAGCAGGCTCCGAAAGGTCCATCGCCAATACCTAATTGACAAAATCAAGGCACGATTAGCCAGTTGGAAGAAAAAGCTCCTCTCGGCAGGAGGAAGAAGAGAGTTAGTACTATCAGTACCAAGCTCCATGCCAATCTATGCCATGACAGCTCTGAAAATACCAAAGCAAATCATTCAAGAAATTGACAAAGTAAGAAGAAAATTCCTCTGGGACGGTGGCGATGAAGTCAATGGCGGAAAGTGTAAAGTGAACTGACAGCGCGTTTGCAGGCCCCTAAAGTATGACGGTCTGGGGGTCTCGAATCTCACCAAGATGGGAAGGGCGCTTCGCCTGCGATGGCTATGGTATGAATGGACCTCCCCCGACAAGCCATGGATCGGCATGCCAACACCCTGTGATGAACAGGACAACGAGCTCTTTGCAGCATCCACGTCAGTGACAATCGGAGATGGTAGGAAGGCGCTCTTCTGGGAATCCCCATGGGCTTGCAGCTCCACCTTGAAAGCAATGGCACCCAATCTCTTCCACCACGCTAGAAAAAAGAAAAGGACGGTCGCAGAAGCCCTACAAGATAACAAGTGGATCGATGACATCCGATACAACTTGACAACTGTCCTCGTCACCGATTTCTTCAAGGTCTTCGAGATAATCTGGACCTCAGGCATCACACTAACCCAAGACATTGAAGACAACATACGATGGAAATGGACAACAAGTGGAGTCTACACAACAAAATCAGCTTACCAAATGTAGTTCCTAGGGGGCATACCGTCGGTATCAGCAAATATGATATGGAAATGTTGGGCACCATCGAAGTGCAAATTCTTTGCCTGGCTACTCCTCCAAAACAGAATTTGGACGGCCGATCGACTTCAGCAGAGGGAGTGGCCAAATAACTACTTCTGTCAGCTCTGCTTCAGAAACCTCGAGACGGCACACCACCTCTTTTATGAATGCCCGATCACAAGGAAAATCTGGGATGCCATAGCAACAAGGCTCGGCATGCCTCAGCTAAGACCACAGAACTGGTCTAAAACGACAATCCTTGAGGACCGGTGGACACAAACCGTTAGTACAATGCCTAAGGAGAAAAGGAAGGGTGCCAAATCGATCCTTATCCTACTATCCTGGGAAATCTGGAAAGAGAGAAATAACATGGTTTTCAAGAACATAGAGACAGCGACGCAGGGAATCGTTGAGAAAGCGATCGACGAGATCTGGCTCTAGCGTGTAAGCGGGGCAAAGGGCATCCAATGTCTAACGACCCACAACCATGGAAGCATAACCGACATTACGTAAATTAGACTCATCAGCTGCACCCCTCCTTTGTAGCTGCACCTCCCTCCACCTGCTTTCTTTTTCCTTTCTTATTGTAATCTCCTAGCCCCCTGGGCTATTGTACAGTTTTTCCCTCTACTTTAATACAAATACACCCCGCGGGGTTTAAAAAAAGAAAAATTAAATTTTGACCGCTAAGCATAAGCCTGAGTGAAAGACGAGGCTTTTTTAGCTTAGCAAAGTGAGTTCATTAGAGCTTAACAGTAGCTACATCATTGGATTTTATTTTATTATTTTGCGAAATTTTCCCTGCCAAGTGCCGACCACAATTCTGTGTGCTACTGTGGCGTCAAGGTTCGAGATCGATTCGAACCGTCAAGTCCACGAAAAAAGATTTGGGAATAGAATGTATTCCGACAAAACCCCGCGCTGAAACTCGCTTCCGCCAATGGATATATGTGATACGCCTGCGTGGCGATCAGGACGTGACGGAGTAAAAAAAAGGGCATGCGTAAGAAGCAAACACAAGTCTAGCTATGTAATCTATTTTGAGAACACTAGCTACGTAATCTCGTTCGAATATATAAAGCTCAGCAAAGAACGAAGGCATATATGCACTGCACTTATCTCAGTTTTATCTCTGCAGCACCAACATGCAGGTTAACCCACTTGACTCGATCAGATTCGTTGGCTTATCTAATTTGCTAAGAATTCTAAAGAATTCGGATGTTGTAGAGTCCTAACAAATTGAGTCAAGTCTCATCAGATGTATAACACATTTAGTCAACATCTTCAGTCGTTTATTGGACAAGTCTAAGGCTGAAGTTGACTGACATACTGAGTCCTGTCCTAGCAATATCTTTTTTGCTTTTTATTTAGCATTACAGGATTTATATTGAAAGATGTTAATGGCATGTCATTGTCTGTCCGTAAGCTTATCAACTAGTAGAAATTTAAATTTTGCAGTTAAGGTTTTGTATTTAAACCACAAATTACATAAATATAAAAGTTTTACCTGTAAATATTTGCTTTTTGTTTGATTAATTTTTCTATATATGACTAGGTTGCGTTCGTTTGTAGTAGTTGATAACTCATTCTCTATGCACGAAAACAAAGTAGTGGATTAACACATATTTAACAAAGTATTGACTTTTTTTCTAAAAAAATTGGATTAGTATGATATTTTAAACCAACTTTTCTATAGAAAAATTTCGTAAAACACACAAGCTTATGAAGTATGCGCGTGGGAACCAACGAAGGAAAGGTTGGATGGTCTGTTTGTTAAAGCTCCAAGCTACTTCAAGCTAAAATGCTTTAACAAAATGAATTAGAAAAGTAGAGCTATATTCTTCATATGTCTTCTTCAAACTCTAATTTCTTACAGTTAGATTTGTAAGTTAGAATCGTGACCCTTAACAGCTAGCCTTAACATGTACACACGTACGCCACAGAAGTACAGAACGCGTATCTCCCTTGGCCCAGTTGGGGAATGAGTTAGGCGCGCCCACCCGATCGGATCGATCAACCGAAGCACCGAGCTCGATCGATCATTTAGCTGCCTCGCAAAATAAGCTGCAAGTTGCCGCTCGTCGCGCGCGCGCGGCGCGGCGAACCACCCATCCATCAACCGCGGATCCCATCCCCATCCCAGTGGGCGCGCGCGCGCGCGCGGCCGAGAAAAAGGTCTCCCCGTGTCGGGCCGCCTCCGCCTCTCCTCGTCGTCGGCTATGTCTCCATTTCCGAGTCATTAACAAATCCAAACCACACGCTAGATAGATACAGATTGATGATCGTATCACCGTCTCGATCGTCCAAGGGTGACTCACATCACATGCCGACGCGATCAGCACAGTAGTTATCCTGTTAATTGGGTCTTGCTGAATGCTGACACTGACGATGTGGGCCCCACGAGTCAGGGATCCAGGCTTGAGGCGTCGGATTGTTGGGTCGGGAAAATCAAGTGCAGATTTTTTTTTTTTTTTGGCTTTCTCAACCACCGTGGCGAGCCACATGTACATACGTGGTTGTGCATGTACACGTAGTGTATATACACTTGGTGCGTGCTTACCTACAGCTACAGGCTACAGCATGACAGCTAAGCTACACTCCTCTCCTCCTAGCTAAATTAACTTAATTTGGTCAATGGCTCCTCCGATCAATCGATCAGTTTACACGTAACTAATCTAATGTTTTTTTTTTCTTCTTCCCGCCGCGGCGAGCTGGCTGGGCTAGTTTAGCTCGATCGATTTCTCTTCGAGACGGCGGGTTCAAGTGCTACTCGGCAATGGCGCCGAGATCGGGCACGAAGTCGCGGCCACGGCTGTGCCGCCTCGTCCTCGACCGGCGGCACCCCTTCCCGGCGGCGCGGGGATCGGCGGCGGAGGCGGCGGCCTCCGGGAACACGAGGGGCCCGTCGTGGTCGCCCACCAGCGCGGCGCTGGCGCGGACAGCGAGCGCCGCCATCTCCTCCGCCTGGAGCGGCCGCCGCCGCATAGCGGCGGGGAGCACGAAGTAGAGCTGCCCGGGCTGGAGCTCCTCGTCGTCGCCGCCGCCCACCGCCGCCACCGCGGCCCCGAGCTCCAGCCCGTCGGCGCTGCACAGGAACCACGACGACCCGCCGCCGCCTCCGCCCGCCGCCTTCACCGCCTGCGACGCCCTGGTGCCACCCGGGAACCGCCGCAGCGCGCCGTCCGCCAGCACCACCCTCGCCGCCGTCGCCTCCCCCGACGCCGACCTCCCGTTCACCGCCGCCACCGCCGTCGCCTCGCAGGAGTTGCACGCCCCCATCTCACAGTTTGAATGCTCGTCGTCGTCGTCGGACGCGGCGCGGCGGTGGGTGAGCCGAGCCGAGCGCGCGCCGCGGTCGGGGACTCGTGGTCGGGGTTGGGCGTGGAGCGCGGCGTGCGGTCGCGCGTATATATACGCGAGGGGGAGGAGGACGCGTCGCGTCGGGTAGTGTCGAGAGGAGGAGGAGGAGGCGATCGTGCCAACCTGGAGGTTGTTGAGGACAGCTTGCAAGGGAGCGGGGCTATAGTAGTTGTAGTACGCGCGCGTAAATGTGTGTGACACCGTGCACGCATCCTAGGGTGCTACGAGTCTATTTTGCTACCAGTGCGCGGTGAGTTGTGTGCACATCCCTGCTTGCGTGGCGCGATGCCGTGGTGGGGCCCACTTGTCAGTGCCGTTTTAGGACATTCCTTCGTTTCAAAATAAGTTTATTTTTAGCTCATTTTATTTATCCCAAAATAAGATTATTTTTAGAGTGATCATCGCATCAAAGTTTATAAAAATAGAGAATAATTGTATCGGAAGTAGATAAAGTAGATGTTTTTAGTCTTTTTTACTTTTGTATTGGTATATGTGTGTGACGGGTGAAAAAATGAACTAATTTTGTGATGGAGGTAGTATAAGAGCAGGTACAATAGCAGGTTATAAACATATTTTAATGAGATAAAAAATGAGAGAGAAGAGGAGCGGACTACAGATCTGTAGCCAGCTGTAGTACGGACTCCAAGACACAGTGTGTGTATGACAGATGGGAACATATATTAATAGTATAGTAAGCAATTATTGTATGAATTGGCTATTAGATTAGCTATAGATAAATTGGAGCTAGTTGTGGGTTATACTATTAAACTTGCTCTTAAAAAACCATTAACGCATGATTAATAAGTTAAAATTATTATAAATTTTAAAAATATATTTATCTAAGGTTTTAAAATAACTTAATATATAATGTTTTCGTACGAAATGCATCATTTAGCAAATAAAACACCATGCTAACAGAAACTGAGATAAAATATATATCATAATCAGAAAAAGAATGGCGCATAAGCTTAACTTTGGAATTAATTTAGAGTTTTTTTTCCTTTTGTTTTTTTAACCATCATTTTTTGCGTGAAAAAACAAAAGTCCAGTCCTGCTAGCTCCTGCTAGCTGCTTCGGTGCATTAAGCCGTACCATAAAAAATTCCTCCTAGCTAATCAGCGATACACTGTACCTATTGGTGGTGCAGCAGCACGAGTTAATGGTTATGGCGAAAGCAATTGAATCACGTGCTGATGCTGCTGATCATGATCGTGCGAAAGCGGCGCTTAATCTAACCAGAGCTTTTGGAAGCGGAGGAAATGGCGTCGAAGCTTAGCAGTAGAATCCTTAGCTCTCAAAGGGGGCAGCAAACAAATCAGCAGCAAAGGTCTAAAGGAGATGATGATTGTAGGGACGGGAGAGGGAGAGGCATACATGATCTATTTAGCAAAGCTTCAATTTCTAAATTTAATACCAAGAGTTAGTTCTGAAGTGAAGCTGATTAATCCCAGCTTCACCTGTCTGCTTCATTTTACGGAGCTGAAATTATTTAGCTGGGCTATAGCTTTTAAGAGGATAGAGCCTGAGCTGAAACTGTGACAAATGGGTCCAACGTCACAAAATCGGCGGAGGATGAGGAGCAGCCAAAGCTGGGCAACTTCGCGCCATTTTCTCCGCATGTTGGCCGTGGATCCTCCGCGCCGACGCCGAGATCTCGCTTCGCATTTTTTGCATGAGGCGACAAATGCTGGTAAGAATGGACCTTGATTAATAAGCGTAGCGCAAGAAACTTTGATTAGCAGGGTTATTAAGATGTGTTTAAATGCGCGTGTACCGTACTGTTTTGACATAGGATTCTTCCTGGTTGAAAGCTCCCATACAGTCCTACTATATGCTATGCATGGGCGTTTTTACTCGAGAGGGATGTCGTAACTATGGTCACACACACAATGTCAGAGCTGTACAGCCCCAGTCCTGACGTTAGTACAGGACTGACCGTCGCTCAAGATCTCGCTCCGACGCGACGACGCTTTCATGGCGCTTTGTACAGCTGGCGACATGCAGCCAGCCAGCCAGCCAGTCCTCTCGCAACGCCCATCAAGCCTAGCTCGTCCATACACCATTATTCAGACATACTAGATCGGAATGGATATACTTCTGTATAGATGAGAGAAATGGTTTCGGATCTTGTAGAGGAGAATAGGAGAGGAAAAAAGAACAAAAAAAAAATTAAGATGAACTTGAACAAGGAGATGGAGATTCAGGGTTTAACTTTTTCGATTTCGAATTAAAAATCATATCTCATTGGTTTACCGAAATCCGAAAAAAACTAGTAAAAACCGATGGCTTTTAGTCAACGCCGTACGAAAACCGACTAATATTGACCGGTTTTCATAAACTAACACCTAGCGGTTTCGTGAAAACCCCCCATGGAATCATGGAGGTAGCCCATACATGGTGATCATTGGCAGTGGCCCCTGCAGCTGCAGGAAATGAATGATAACTGGGACAGTTTTTGTTGCGTCCGTGCGGATCGCAGCGTTTCTTCTTCTTCCACCTCCTCCCATCTCCCCCACTGACCCACGCACCAATGGCGCCACAGGTCCACGTACCCAACCACTCCTCTCAAATTAATCTCCAATCATCCGAGCTCGACGCATCCATGGCTTGGTCCTACATGGAGTGAATGCGAGATGCGCCCAAGCTAGCCATTGAAGACGTCGCTGAGCTAAGCCATATACACTTAAGAGGAGCACTTCAGGGATTCAGGCTGACCATGGCATGCATGCGTGGCGACTAATGGATGAACTGATCATTCATTCATTCATTCATTCATTCATTCAGCATAGCGGATAGCTGAGCTTGTGCTCAGCACGGCAAAATGAATTGTGTTTCAGATTCAGCCCCCAGTTCATCATCGTTCATCACATATTCACACGCACGCCACCCTGGCTTCACCCATTACTCTCTGACAGGATAGTAGATCAATCGATTTACTACACCGATATAAAAACTGACAGACTGTTAGGCTATTCCCAACCCAAGACACTAGATATAGTTTCCATAAACTTCACATCATCAAGAAACTAGTACTAGACACTACTCTTCCAATGCAAACACTACTATTTCATACTTAAATTTAATGCTACTTATCTCACATGATGTCTTGGATGTTGTGTAGAAATCAAGTCTCATGCAAGACATGGTTTTCTTCTCTTTTCTCATTTATTCACTTGCCACATCAGTTTTTATCCTAGGTGGCAACTTATTTAATGCTATGGACACCATCCTAGTCATTGGGTTGGGAATGGCCTTAGTGCTTCATTTTGTGTCCTAGAATCTGCATGCTTTCAATCGTCCAATGAAAAAAAAAAGATATTCAGTATTACTACGTACCAAAATATAACAATTTAGAACATGATGGGAGACATCCTAATATTGCTAATCTAGACAGACGAATGTTTAGATTTATAATACTAAAACGTGTCCTGTCAAATCTTATATTGCTATATTTTATAACGAAGGGAATATATTTTTAACTAGACAGGAAAATTTTCACTCGATTTTATTGGCTTGATTAGCAGAACATTGACAAGCAAGATGAGATTCCAAGTGCAGAAATCTCAATCCCCCAAACACTGGTAAGATGATCAGTACACTGTACCAGACGCCAGAGACATTTTTGCAAGCACCCTGCACTCCTGCAGGCTGCAGTGCCAGGCTAGCCAACCCCGTAGTCAAACGACCAGATTATACTATTACACCAGCACAACGACACTTGTTTATCGGATCCATCACCAATCACCCTAATCAAACTGCCAATCCGTCGACCTGTTCCAGCGTCCAAGTCTTAAGCACACGCATTAAGAAAATGTGAAATGTTCCTCCTGTTCAGCGATGCAGCATCAATCACACACAGCACAGAATCTACTGCCAGCATGTCGCTGCATCCGGATGTACCGACACCGGAGGGACACGCAAATTCTCAGCTTGTTTTCGTCATGTGCCGGATCCAACTTGCCCCTTGACTGACTGTAAATTCAGAGAGTGTTCAGTGCTTGTTTCAGAATCAGAATAACAATTGATGCTTAGACTAATTCTTTGCTGATAAAAATTAGCCTGTCAGATACTGTAAGTACTCAATCAGATCAATTACGCTCAGGGATAAGAGGTGCAGGATAAGGTAGAAGATAAAAAAGCGAGGTTAAAAGTGAAAATGGTTGGTTCATGGACAGTCGTGCAATGCAGGATTTGACAAAGATTGGATCGGCTAGCTGCTACCACTAATATTCTTATGCAATTGCCGATGTCTCTCCGTCATCAGTTCAGACTTCAGAGACGGGAGAATCGTTTCGTTTTCCATCATCATCTCATCTGCACGCGTTGGCTGGTGTCCTTTTTTCTACTATGGAATTCTCGGGGTTTTGCTGCGGCCATGGGGCGCAGCTGTACGAGCAACGCGATTGTCACAGATAGTTACCTGCATCTGCATGAAAGTAGTAACTGTGTTGCGTGTCGACAGTTTTTGTCGAGGAAGAGAACAAGAAATCAAGATGTGATTGCTGAAATGGTATGCTGCTGGCTAGCTAGCATCTGGAAGAGGGAAAAACATAAAGAGCATTTCTTGTGTATGGCCTTATGTGGTGTAGATAATCAGTTCGATGATGTCCATTGAGATTGTCTGTTATCCTTCGTTTTGCACGAAATAACTAGCCACATAGTCGCTCTTTACGCAACTGTTGATCCCATTTAAGAAATTTTATATATGTTTTTTTAGTTTAGCTTAGCTTTTATGAGTGTTTTGACATAAGTTAATTTATTTAAAAATATCGACTGGTCTACCCAACTATAAATTTACTTAAGTTATATTATATGTTTATTAGAGAAATCAATGGCAGCTTCTTTTTTTTTTCTTCATTGTCTTTGCCCTCAATATATAAGAGGAGGCACTAGAAATTGATCTCCCAAAATTCCCATATGTTTAGTTCATTTATGTTTTTTATTAATGAATGTACCATTTTGATTTAACGACTATTGTTTATCCAAACTCTTTATCCTTGTGAAAAAACCTTGTTGCTTTCACTATATACAAGATGTCATCGCTGCAAGTTGGCATACCATATCTGATGTTCAAAATTCAGAACTATTTATTCGG